ATTTCTTAGTCCTCAAAAAAAAAAAAAAAAAAAAATTATAACATAGTTTTTGTTGTTTAAAATTAAAATTTTCAAAAATTTAAAATTATGTGTATATTTATATAGAGTTAATTTTATTATGAATTAATGTTAACATTCACCCGATTAAATTAAATGCGGCAAAAATCCTTAGCTACTCGACAGTTTCTCTCAGGCTCAAATCGTCTCGTACTCAACAGCTAATGGCCATGGCAGCGATCAACGGTGCTTCTATAATCTCACCGGCTTCAAATCCTTCATGGCGGAGATAAGAATGCGCTATGAGAGGAGAAAACTTTGAGCTAACAACTCGGTTAGGTGCTCTCGGACATTGGAAGGGTCCACCCAATGTATTACGGTGTCAAATGGCAAGTGCTCAACGGAATATGGCAGTCCAGCGGAGGAAGGGGGAGAATCGACTGTGACAATAGGGTAGAGGCTATGCTCCGATATGCCGACGCCGGACTTTCAACCTTCGATATGGCCGACCAGTGTACGTAATGCAGTGCGTTAGCGAACCAAAATCCACATATATTTAAAATTAAAATTATCTGTCAATGTTATCGTCTTCTTTTGGCTTTTGTTTCCTTGTGCATTTCGTTGTCTGTGCGTTTCGATCCATAAACAGCTTTATTGTAGCCACTTAGCCTCTGTGCATGTCACACTTTTTTGAAAATTCCCGGTTTGATTCCATTTTGTCCTCTCTTTCCTGGTGGATGTAGTACCGAAGGAGCTTTGTTTTTGGCGGCTTGTATTTTCATTCCTTAAGATAAACGCCTCAGTAGAATGTGGAAGATAAGGATAAATCAGCTTCTGGTGCGTGGACTACGAAAATCAGCAAATCAAGGATAAACTTAAGTGGCATCCTCTTCTTTGATTCACTTAGCTTCACACAGTTAAAATGACCTAGTTGAATCAATATTTTTTGAGATTCATGCTTATTTGAAGAAACATGTGCGTTTGCAAGGGAGATTACAGACTAGAAAATTGGAAATCCTCGTTTATATTCAATATTGCATATGCAGGCTTACAAAATGGGTGTCACCGTCGGTGAAGATGACTATTAGCTATGTCCGGGTGAGTATTAATATCTCACGAAAGAGAATGGATGTGTCTTCTTTTGATATGCTTCAATTCTACTGGAAAACAATTAACAGTTCTCTGTCATAACCTCATCTAATTCGAAGCTGTTCCCTAAGTTTGGTTGTGCTGATGTACACTTAGAACCCTCACGATGTGGCAGAAATATATTTTCTTTCTTATGGAACCTATAATGCACATTTTTCACAATGGATTCTCTCGTTCATACAGGAAAGCATTAGGCAAGGCTGTACTTCAATGCTGCTCTTGCCATCTTAGATTTGTGGAGTGAACTTTGAAAATTATAAGGCATGGATTTTTCTTGAAGGATCAATGAGAATCAATGAATTGAATCTATAATTTGACCATGGAACTCATCTAGGCAGTTATCAAGGTGCAGTTCCGACTTCCATTTCATTTTTTACTTGTCATACATATTGGATGTTGTAACGTAAACACTGTTTACTTCCTGTCATTTTTTTAGGAAAAGATGCATGGTGAATCGTCTATGTTTCCTTAGGAACCTCCTTAAAACTTCAAGTGTATCTAAACTTTTTTTTAACTTTTTATTTGGATTAGGTGGAATTATTCGAACCCTGGCTATCTAGATGCTCTCAAGCATCTCACTGATTTGAAAGAAAGAGTGTAAGTCTTGTTTATTTGAGCTCTTCGTTTATTAGTTGTCTGATCACCTTTTATTTATATATACATGTATATATATTACTTCAGCAAGTGGTGTATGGGTAAAATCAAGAAGGTTGCCTTGACAAATTGACACGGAAAGGTGGTTGAGGATTGTTGGGAGGAGTCCCAAGGATTGTTGGGAAAAGAGTCTGCGGAAAGGGATGATCATGAGTTTATAAGTAAGGAACACCATCTCAATTAGTACGTGGCTTTTTGGAAAACCAAAAGCAAAGTCATGAGAGCTTATGCTCAAAGTGGACAATATCATACCATTGTGGAGATCCGTGGTTGCTAACATGATATCAGAGTCATTCCCTTAATTTAACCATATCAATAAAATCATCGAATGTTAAACAAAAGAAGTTTGAGCCTCGAAGGTGTAGTAAAACTGACTCAACTGTCAAACAAAAGGTGTATTTTGTTCAAGGGCTCCAAAGAAGGAGTTGAGCCTCGATTAAGGGGAGATTGTTCAAGGGCTCTATAGACCTCAAGGGAGGTTCTATCATGTACTTTGTTCGAGGGGAGGATTGTTGGAGGAGCCCCATATTGACTAATTAAAGGGATGATCATAGGTTTACAAGTAAGAAATACTATCTTCATTAGTACGAGGTCTTTTGAGAAACGAAAAGTAAAACTACGAGAACTTATGCTCAAAGTAGATAATATCGTACTATTGTGGAAAATAATATCCCTGCACACAATTGACGCATATCTTCGATGAAACTTACCAGGTTCAACACTCTATCGTTGATATGAAGCCTCAAGAAAGGGTGGCAGAGGTAACTTATAACGTATCAATCTGTCTCCCTCAATTTCATTTTACCAATTATCCCTATTCATAACGTAGTTACTGTTCGCGTTTTCATATGATCTATAGCTTTTATTTGATTTTTCTACCCAAATTCCAATGTTTATTTAATGCATGATTCTTAATGCAGGTATGGATCTGTAATGGGTGGCCTACTTAATGATTCCTTTTGCTGGACCTTCATTAAATACTCCCTCCCTGCAAAAGTACAAAAGGGTATGATAAATTATCTTTTTTTTTTTTACCTTAATGATATTGATTATGTACCAAGCAGTTCGTCAATATAATGGAATTCTGAAATGAAATTAAATTGCATAGAGATTCTTGTCTTATTTTAGACTCATATTTAGCTGGAAAAATATTGACCAAGCAATTCGTGAATGGTGATGCTTTTTCTCAATGAAGAAGGTGGATGTGTGAGAAATCTTCTTTGATCTGTTATTTAACCTTATTAGACATTATGCATAGGGAGGATGGAGTTTGAAAGAGTTGTGAGATCTCGCGTACGTTAGAGTAGAGAACGAAACATTCATGATAAGGGTGTGAAAATTTATCATTGGTTGACGTGTTTTAAAATCGTGAGCCTGATTGCTATATGTAACAGGTCAAAGCACACGATATTTGGTAGCAATAGGCTTAGACTGTTACAAATGATATCAGGACTAGACACCGGATTGTGTGCCAGCGAGGACGCTGGGTCCCCAAGGAGGAGGATTGTGAGATCTCACCTCAGTTGGAGAAAAGAATGAAGCACTCCTTATAAACGTGCTTTTAAATTTATTGTCGATTAAAAAGGTAGATACCAAACAATATCACAAAGTTAAAACAATTGTTTGTTAGGTTTATCAGATATTGTCTGTTTTAGCAGTTAGTTTCACAATTTTAAAACGTAGATACTAAAGAGAGGTTTTCATATCTTTATAAGAAATATTTCGTTCCCTTTTCCAACCGATATAAGATCTCACAATCCACCTCTCTTGGGAGCTCAACGCCCTCACTAGCACACCGCCCGATGTCTTGCTCTAATACCACTTGTTACAGTCCAAACTCACCGCAAGCAGATATTGTCCGCTTTTGCCCTGCTTTTGCCCATTACATATCTCTGTCACTCTAACAGTTTTACAACCCGTCTACTATGAAAAGGATCTAGTCCTATTTCAACTATTGTCTTGCACCGTCTAGTGATGACTCTGAAACCATTTGTAATAGTGCAAGCTCATCACATATTGTCCACTCTGAGCTTTCTCTCAAAAAACACAGTAGGTTATTACCCCATGTGCAAATAGATAAGGCGATGACCTTCAAATGTATGATCACGAGTCATGTCGTTGGGTAAGACAAATTTTTGTGTCCGTCCATGTTTTTAATCTTCTTTTTTTTCTTTCCTTTTTCTTTCAAAAAAATATTCTCAAACTAAATAATATGGAGCAAAAATTATAAAATTTTCTTTTTCTTTTTTGTATAAATTATTACAATAATGAGAATGGAATAATTAAAACGACTAATAGATTTATTTCATTTCACGTTCATAAAATTTTCGTTTCGGTACAATATTTTATTCCCCCACACACTTTATGATAAACATAATTTAATTTTTAAAAATTTGTAAAGAGCAATTGATCGATAAAAATAAGTAATTTTATCTTTTTAGATAAAATTATGATTATCTGATGACATGTTTAACAAGTCCAGGAAAGTGAACGTTCATAAAGTAATCCTCCCAGTTGATATCTTTAGGATCCATAACAAATGCTTCATTTGTATCATTGTTTCGTATATCATTCCTTAATCTCTTCGTGTTCGTATCATCAAATCTGTACATACGAAAACAAACATTAAATTTATATCCTTTAATTTTTATTTGAACGCATAAACATATACTTACATAGCATTGAAGAAGAGATAGGGGCGATAAAGTTCGATGAGACGCATCACCAAATTGAACTTCCTCCTCATATCGACGTATTTGTCTTGAAAACAATGGCAAAATGCTATGTTTGCAAATTCGAGTCCCTACATAATTAAGCCCACTGCTAATAAATATGGGTTGTTTTGGCCCGTTACATATTATCGTCAGCCTCACAGTTTTAAAACGTGTCTACTAGAGAAAGATTTCTACATCCTTACAATGAATGTTTCGTTCCCCTCTCTAATCGATGTGAGATCTCACATAGAAATTTTTACCAGTGAGCTCGATGTGGCCGAGGATCGAGATTATATTTTCCATCTTATGGAGTTTGTATTGGTAAGAACGTACCTTGAGAAAAATTAAGTAGCGAATGGCTAGGTATCTATGAAACTTAGCCATACTGTTGAAGAGGGTAACTTTTTCGACCTTAATGGCTTTTCCGTTTTTGTCGATCAACGGTTTCTGAGTGAAATATTGATAACTAAAACGTTGAAGATCAATATGCGTCATGGAAGTTCTGGCTGAAGAACCCACGTGATAGATTGTTTGATTAGACAGCTGGTCTTCATGAGCTGCCATCGCCATGATCATCGTGTTTACCACTATATCGGCCGGAATCTGCATTTTTCTAAACTCGATCAATCTCACGCTCACGCCTTGCATTCAAATGGGTATTAGAAAAAAGTAAGAGCATACTCATCTCACCAAATCAAGGCTTGAATTGGCACCAGCAGCAAAGCATGTTAGCTTCCCTTTAGCATATCCAACAATAATGCTATCAATGGTCCTATCAAAATATGGCAATATTGTGGTTGTTTTAATGTACCCCAACTACTACAATTTCAAGACGTATTTTAAAAACGTGTACCTAACTCCCTCGATCCAACCCGGAAACGGTTCTTTGTAAGTACTCGTAACTATTGTTGGTCGAATGATGATCAGAGGTAGATCGTTTGTTAGGTTACCAATCGTCATTTCACCCATTGCCTTTGTGAATACGTACGTGTTCGGCCATCCATATAAATTTGCCCTAATCGTAAATAAAACAAAACAAAAAACTAGTTATTATAGTGTAACGGCCCAAATCCACCGCTAACAGATATTGTACTCTTTGGACTTTCCCTCTCGAACTTCCCCTCAAAATTTTTAAAATACGTCGGTTAGACGACAGAGATTTTCACACCCTTATAAGAAATGTTACCTTTCAAGACCCAAGTCTTTCATAGCTTGAGTTACAAGCTCCTCTGTAACGCCATTCTCTTTAAGCTGTTTTAATTTGTCCGCTACAATGGCTTGTTCTTCTTCAATGTCGAGCCCTTTGACGCCATTAAGAGACTCACCCATTTTATATGAACTTTCCAAAATAACTCCGTCCCTTTCTCCCGAAACATAAGCTTAAAAACCACAAATTTTCTTCCATTATTGAGTATCTAAAGTAAATTTCGAAACTAAAAATCGTTCGATACACTAACCAGTAGATACATGAACAAGAAGCTTCAAATTACGACATTCCTTTGCAAACCTTACGACATGTTCAGCTCCAATCGTATTAGTGCCAAGTGCTACATCGTACCTATCAAACACAAACAAACAACAACATTGTTTAAGACATTGAAACCATTTATGACACAACAAGGGTTCATACCTTTCATCGAAATTAGTAGTTGCAGCTAAATTTATAACTATTTCCACTTGATTCTTCATCTGGTCGACCCAAATGGAATCTTTCAATCCCATTTGCGAGAGCGAAATCTCTCCCGGCACCAAACAAATCTTTTCGGAAATTAAGGTATTTAGATTTGCACCCAATTTCTTCCTCAAAACTTGGAACAAATCCTTTTCAATCACCTGCAAAATCAATGGATTGTGGTCTTAAAAACAAGAAAACATGCAAAAACTGTCCCTGTTAGGATCCATACCTCATTATAGAAACGTTTTTTAGCTTCAGTTTCATCCGCTGCTCTTAATAACAGGTAGAGTTTCTTCACATTTGGTTGAATCCCAAGTATTTTCTCTACTAAAACTGCATTCAAATGGGTTTTTTTATGAACAATTCTTATCTCTCAGACAAAATTATTTGGATATTGGGTTTGTAATACTTACTTTTTGCTAGAAAACCAGTGGCTCCAGTGATCAAAATGGTCTTATTCTCAAGAAACTCCATATGAGAGGCAGAGAGACAGAGAGACGCGGAGAGAGACGCGGAGAGAGATTATGAATATGAATTGACACACTAATTTAAACCCCATTGATTTGTATATATAGAAGGTGCCGATGATTTCAGGCACATGCTATTCATTTTTTTTATATAATTAAAACGGTTCGATATCAAAAAATGTAAACATGGATATCAATATAAAAGCCGATCATTAGCAATAGGCTTAAGTTGTTACAAATGATATCAAAATCAGACACAAGGTATGAGAACCTCTCCTTAATAGACACGTTTTAAAATCATGAAATTAAGGATAATATATAACCGATTTAAACAGACCATATCTAATAGTAGCACGCTTCCACTAAAAATTTAAAAAAAAAAATTAGTATTCATCTCATACAACCATTTCACTAAAGAATAAATAATGTATATAATATAACTCATTTTAAATATATTAAATTTTATAGTTTCATATTTACAATCTATTTTTTAAAATTTTAAAATATTTTAAGTTAATAAATAATTAACACAAATTTTATTAAAATCTTTTTTTAAAATCTAATCCATTCCATTGGTATGTTTTGAAAGTGAAGCTAATTATTCCATTCTTATTATTTGATGATGAAATTAAAAGTTTACATTTTTATTTAATTTCAAAGGTTGATATTATATAAAAAAAAAAATTATAAATATAAATAAATGGATAACAAAAAAGAGAGAACATTTAATTATTTTGAGTTTTTTTTTTTTTATAATTGAAAAGAAATATTGATTTTACATTTATTCTATATTGAATTTTCAGACATGTGAAGATATCGATGCAAAAAAAATAATATTTTTTAATAAATTTCATTTTTTTAATAGTTGATAAACCAAAATGGAAAATAATAACAAACAACAGGTAAGAGTGTCGAAGATATAATAATTAAAAAATACTTAAAATAAATTAGCGTTATTATCTATTAAGCATTTTTTTCCGAGCTCAATCATCAAAATTTAAATTTATTTAGCTTGGAATAATTTAGAAAAATTTTGTAAAAAAAATATACGAGCAACAACAAAATACGCTAAAATAACGAATAATATTTATTTTTAAAGGACTGGGCAGGTTCAATCAACACCAAACCACGAAGCCAACCATCTTTCCGTAGATACGTAATTACATCCATCCTCGTCTCATTTAATGCGTTTAATCTCTTAAATATAGTTACGTTTTGAACCATAAATTATGCACGATAGGATGATAAATGACCTGGTATTAGCGAAAAACGATCTATACGTAGAATCATAATTTAGGAACGAACGTACTTAAAA